TCATCCCTACCTACTGCTCTGAGCTTCCATCTGGGATCTTCCTTTAGCATTCTTATAGTGTGAGTCTACTGGCGATAAATTCTCTCAGCTTTTGTTTTTGTGAAAATGTCTTTATTTCACCTTCATTAAAAAATCAAAGTATAATTTATATACAGTGAAATTAAGACATTTAAATATGCAGTTAAATGAGTTTTGAGAAATGTGCACATCACACAGTCCACCCCTCATCAAGGTACAGAACATTCCTGTTGCCCCAGCAGTTCCTCTGTGCTCCTTTCCAACCAACCTTGACTCCCAGAGGCAACCGCTGTTCTGATTTCCTTTCTGATACATTAGTTTTGCATGTTTTAGAACTTCATATAAATGGAATTATACAGTATGTTCTGTTTTGGGTCTGGGAGTTTTTTTTACTGAACATAATGTCTATAAGATTTATCCATGTCATTACAAGTATCATGAGTTCTTCACTTTTTATTGTCCAGTGGTATTTCATTTTATGAATATACCATAATTTATTTATCCATTATCCTATTTATAGATCTTTGATTTGTTTCCAGTGTTTGACTATTATGCATATAACACTATGAACATTCCTGTACACATCTTTAATTGAAGAAAAAAAGAAAAATGAAATATCCAAATTAATTTTCAAATTAGTTGTATCATCAGAAATATGTGAGAGTTTCATTTTCTCTACATCCTTGCCAACATTTGGTATTCTCCGGTTTTTTTCTTTCATTTTAGCCATCATAATGGATGTGCAATGGTATCTTATTGTGGTTTAAATTTGTCTTTCCCGGCCAGGTGCAGTGGCTCATGCCTGCAATCCTAGCACTCTGGGAGGCGGAGGCAGGGAGGATTGCTTGAGCTCAGGAGTTTGAGACTAGCCTGAGCAAGAGCGAGATCCCGTCTCTACTATAAATGAAAGAAATTAGCCAAACAACTAAAAATAGAAAAAATTAGCCGGGCACAGTGGCACGTGCCTATGGTCCCAGCTACCTGGGAGGCTGAGGCAGGAGGATCGCTTGAGCCCAGGAGTTTGAGGTTGCTGTGAGCTAGGTTGACGCCACAGCACTCTAGCCCAGGCAAGAGAGTGAGACTCTGTCTCAAAAATAAATAAATAAATAAATAAATAAATAAATAAATAAATAAATAAATTTGTCTTTCCGTAATGATCAATGATTTTGAGTAAATTTTCACGTATATAGTGGCCATTTGGATATCGTCTTTTACAAACTATTGGTTTAAGCCTTTTGCCCATTTTTATTAGGTTGTTTGTCTTTTTGTTATTGAGTTGTAGAAATTCTTACAATCTGAATATGAGTTCTTTGCCAGATATATGTATTTTGAGTATTTTTTCTTCCAGCCTGTAGCGTAAGTGCTGTCTTTTGACGAACAGAAGGTTTTAATTTGGACAAAGTTCAATTTATCAGTATTTCATATTTAGTGTTTTCTGTGTCCTAAGAAATCTTTGTCAACTTTGAGGTCACAAAATAATTCTTGTAAGATTTCTTCTAGAAGCTTTATAATTTTAGCTTTTGTTTAGGCGATGATCTATCTTGAATTAAGTTTTTTGTCTATGGTGTTAGGGGTCAAGATGTTTTTTTAAAATTGAAAAATTCAGGCAAGCTGTGGTGGCTCACACCTATAATCCTAGGACTTTGGGAGGCCGAGGCGGGAGGATGGCTTGAGCCTAGGAGTTCAAGACCAGTCTGAGCAACATAGTAAGACCTCTACAAAATATAAAAAACATTAAAAAAATTAGCCAGGCATGGTGGTGCATATTTGTTGTCCCAGCTACTTGGGAGGCTGAGGCAGGAGGGTCACTTGGATCTAGACGTTCGAGGTTATAATGAGCTATGATGATGCCACTGCACTCCAGCTTGGTGACAGAGTGAGGCCCTGTCTCTAAAAAAGAAAGAAAGAAAGAAAGAAAGAAAGAAAGAAAGAAAGAAAGAAAGAAAGAAAAATGCATTTCCTTTCTGCATTGAATTATCTTGGTACATTAAAAAAAAAAACCAGTAGACTATTTAAGTGTAAGTCTTTTCCTGGCTTTTCTATTCTGTTTTATTGATCTGTTTGTCTTTCCTTATACCACACTGATTTGATTACTATAACTTTATAGTGAGTCTTGATATGAGATAATGTAAATCCTTCACTATTGTGCTTCTATATCAAGAATTTCCCAACTGTTCATTGATGTATGAAAATACAGTTGATTTTCACATATTACCCTTGTATCTCGAAAATTTTGAGATGCTTCTTAAAAATTTTAAACAACTTTATTGGGATATAATTCACAAACCATACAATTCACCCATTTAACATGTACAATTCAATGGTTTTTAGTACACTCACAGATAGGTACAGCCATCACTGTGGATATCTTGCAAGCTTGCTGAATTCCTTTATAAGTTCTAGTAGTTTTTTTTTTTTGGTAGATTTTTTTTGGGAAATTTTTATGCACATAATCATATTGTTTGTCAATAACACAGTTTCATTTCTTTAAACAAAAATTTTAAGGCATTTTATTTATTGCACTGGCTAGGACCTTTAGTATATTGTTAAATAGAAATGGTAAGAGCACATTTTTTTTTTGTTTTATTTACATATGTTGTTTTTGAAGGATATTTTCTTGAGTGTAGAATTTTAGGATGGCTGGCTCTTTTTCCCCCTTTCCATTTCTTTCTTTCTTTTTTTGCCCGGGCTGGACTCAAATTCCTGGGCTCCAGCGATCCTCCCGCCTCAGCCTCCTGCGTAGCTGGGATTACAGGTGCGCACCACGGCGCCTGGCTTCTGTCTTCTTATCTCTCAGTGAGCTGATACCCACCATTTAGGTTGTGAGGAAAATGGGGATTATCCTTCCAGATAACGAAACACAAGACTTTCACGACTGTGTGTGAGTGTTGGGAGTAGGGGAAAGGTAAAAAACTGACTAGTGTAACAACCAAGGCCTGTACAACATTATCCTTCTCAAACAGGCACGTGCCACACACTCTCTGTCACACACTCCCACTTCCCACGTCCGTCAGTGTATTCCTGTCTCCCCCACCCCTCCCCCATGAACTTCACACCGACATCCCCCAGCCTCAAATGGCCTTTTCCCTACATCCCCGCACCCTGGCGTCTCCCACACTCACCCTACACGTTCCTGGTACACTCCTCAGTGATCCTGGGGCTGTGGCTCTGGGGGGCCCGGAGCCTCACGATGTCAGGTGGGTCTTCAGAGGCCAGGATCAGGCAGAGAGGGGCCCCGCCCATGCACAGCCACCCTCATCCATTCACTTGTGGCCTCGAGGCCCTGAGGGGGACAGAAGTAGGCAGGAGAGCACTTAGCACATCTGAGCCTGAGAGGGGGCCCAGGCTGGCCCTGGGGGGCTCGCGGGGTTCCTTGGGCACCGTGTGGGTGGGTTAGACACGAGTCAGCAATTCAGCTCTTCTCTCCCCAGGTGATCACTGGTAATAGCTGGGCGTGCACACTGTTCTCCCCTCTGTGTTCATTACACATATGTGTCTAATTATGTTCCCACATAGTTTTGTTCACATAAATGGGGTCATAATAACAATCTGCAGTTTTTCACTTTATATACACATTTTGGATATGCTTCCTCATCAGTAATACAGATCATTATTTTTAAGTTACATAGTATTTTATAGCATAAATGGACTATAAACCATTAAATCAGTCCCCTAGTAATGACTATTTAAGTTATTTTAACTAAATGTTATTACCAAAGACTGACTGTTTTAATACGGCTTATATCAATGGGCCAGTATTTCTAGTGTCTTGCCTTTGAAGTTAGGGATTTGGCCATTTCTGGCAGAAAAGACTGGGCAGCACTTTTGTCTTTTCCTTGGAGGGGGCTCAACTGTTAAAAGCCATCTGGTGCCTGAATAATAGCTGCCCTTATGACATCGGCAGTGTCCCTCCTCCACTCCTACTGTGCCATGGCTGAGGAACACAGACCTGAGGGGATTCGAACCATCTACACCCAATCCATGCGTGACCAATGGTGAGTAAGAAAGAGCTCTGTTTCTCTTTCATGGACACCAAGGGCACACTGGGCTTGTCAGAAGTGTCCCCATGGATCTCTCAGGATGAGGGGCCCTGGCCACTGGAGACTCTGAGGACCCTGGAAGCTGGGGATGTGTAGGTTATTGAATGGAGAGGGAGGGACAGCAGCCTCACTTGCCTTCCCTCTAATGCCGCCTGCAGGAGAAGCAGCAGAATAAAAGTAAAAATAATCTCCCTAAAAAAGATGAGTCTCAGAAGAAAGAGAAGCCAGCCTCAGCACCACTAACCCCACAGGCGCAGGCAGAGGTAGGAGGAGCCCTGACCTGGATGTCACTGATCCTTGTGTCCTAGTGTCTTTTGCACGGTCCTGAGCTAAGAGTGGAAATAAACTCCTTGTTTGTCTTTTCCCCCATTTCCTTCTCAGGCTAAAACTCTGGCTCTGATTGAGAAACTGAGAGCGGAGCAGGCTAATATGAAAGTTGTAAAGGTATGACCGCCCAGACGACACAGGGCTGGGGCTGTGGGGGCTGTGTTTGTGGAGTGGAATGACCAAGACGGGGGAAGCTTGACTTAGTTAGAACTGTGTGTGTGTGTGTGTGTGTGTGTGTGTGTGTGTGTGTGTGAGAGAGAGAGAGAGAGAGAGAGTGTTTGACCTCGTGCATGTATGTTTGCTTGTGAATTAAGATTTAAAGTATGAAAGTCAAGGAAAGTGAAAATGGGGAAGAAACAAGAGAGGCCAACCATTATGGGGTGGGGGAAACTTTGAATACTACGACGTGACAGAGGGAGAGAGAAGGTCGTGCATTTGCGCTGGAGTCAGGGGTGAGAGGGCAGGACCAGCAAAGATGCCACTTCTCCAGCAGGTGGGAGGGGACTGAAGGGAAGAGTCATGGATCCCAGGTAGGTGGTCAGGCCCAGGTGGAACATGGTAACCCTTTGACCCCCAGATCACAGGGTTCTTCCTCTGGACTGGCCAACCAGGCCCATGCAAAACCAGGTGAGGGAGCTAGGGCAGGTGTACCCCCACTTTGCAGATGGGGACATTGAGACTCAGAGGTGAGGTGTCCATGTCCATTAATCTGCAGGTGGCAGGGGTGGGGAACCTACCTCATCTCTTGGGTCCAGCTGTTACCCTGCTCAGTGTTCCTGAATTTCAGAAGGGACAATTGTTGACAGGGAATCAGGGCCTTTCCTGGCACACCTAGGGCTGAAGTGGGTGGGGTGCATTCTCTGAATGTCCTTCTTTTTTTCTTGAAAGCCCCCAGAAAACCAAAAGAAGGTCTTTGACAAAGATACAGCAGTCGTAACAATCCAGGCCTGGTGGCGGGGCACACTGGTACGTCGGGCGCTGCTGCACGCAGCCCTCCGGGCCTGGAGCATTCAGTGCTGGTGGCGGCTGAGACGGTCCAAGCTTCTGAGGAAGAGGCGGCGGGCAGTGCTACAGTCCTTTTCACGGGAGGAGTGGGCAGCAGTCACACTGCAGTCCTGGGCCCGCATGTGGCGCGTCCGCCGGCATTACTGCCAGGTGCTCAACGCTGTCCACATCATCCAGGCCTACTGGAGGTGCCACTCCTGTGCCTCCCGGGGTCTCATCAAGGGCCAATACAGAGTCACAGCCAACCAGCTGCAACTCAAGCTGGAGATCTTGCTGGGCTCTGGGCCTTACATTGTGACAGAGTGTATTCCCCTCCCAATAAAGGACTGAAGTGGTCTTTTCCAGACATTCTCTGTTTGACAAGCTCCAGGAAGTCAGGGCAACTGATGGCAGATACTCGGCATCTCATATACCGGCTCTGAGGAATTGGCAGAAGGATTCTGAGCCCCTTGTCCAGACTGAGCAGAGACTGCGATTGATTAGCTATGTCTGCCACGGGTAGGAAAGTCGGGGGTACAGATCTGCCCTTGGCCAACTCCAGGGAGCATCATTCGTGTTTGGCCTATGTAAATGGTGCGCTCTCCCTAAGACTGTGTATAGTGGAAGCCTTTGGGAGGGTGGCCAAGACAATGGCAGCATATTCTCCAAGAATTCACCCTTTTGGGTCTAGTTGCTCAGAGCTGGTTCCCCCACCCCCATGACTGAGAGGAGCCCGCCCACCCCAAGCGTTGTGAATCCTGTCTCCCCGCCTAGCTGGGGACTGTATCCTCATACTCAGCTTCTAAGTCAGAATCTTGAGCCCCTAACTGGAAGCTGTTAGAGACCACAACCCAAGTTCTCACTCTCACAGCAAACACCATCCATCCCTTTCCTCAAGCGCCTGCTAGCTAGGACTCATTCTCCTCCAGACCCACCCTATGTGGATGGCTCCTTAGGCAAGAGAGCGGGGAGAAACATTCCACTGCCAGCCCAGCCCCAGTGAGTGTCAGGCTATCACGGAACCAGGAGGGAGGAAGCATTAGTCTTGTCTCCCTTACCCTCTCCCCAGGCCCAGCCTCTGCAGGGGCTGGTCCAGGCAGAGCTGGCTCCTCTGAACATCCCTTCCTATGAAATGCTGCCACTTGGGGTTGGGATTGGGCCCCAGGTGATGATCAAAGGCCAGTTTAGAGGTCAAGGTCTGAACCTCTGTTTGTGTGGACACTGCTGTCCTGTGGTTCCCCGCAGAAAGGGAGGAGTCTGGGATCTGGGTCATTCTCCACTGAGGCTGCAAGCTCAGAGCTCTGTGTCCAGCCATGCTCCCTTGACTCTGCCCTGGTGAGCTGGTCCCTTGGCTCACAGAGGTTCTGTGATGCTGCCCAGATGTCTTGCGCTCTAGCGCTCTGTCTTGCTCCTGGGTGTGGGCTCTGTATTTCCTGCTCTATCCTGCCACATTCTGCCCTTGTGTCTCACTGAGGGCCTGGGTCTCCCCCACCCACTCAGAAGGATTTCTTTCCCCTTGCCTCCGTTTGTCTTGGGTTTAGTGTCTCAGGGCAAAGAGCTCTGTCCTAGGTCAGATCTCTGGCTCTGCTTCCCGCTGCTATGTGGCCTCTCAGAACCCAGTTTCCTGAGCTGTGAGCTTGGACTAATGATCCCCACTGTTCAGGGTGAATGTCAAGTACCATAAAAATTCAGCATCTTCAAAACATCAAGTTCTACACCTTAAATATATACAACTTTAATTTGTAAATTATACCTCAAGAAACCTAAAAAAAAAAAAAATCAGAATCAGCAACAAAACAAGGAAAGAGGTCACATCCATAAACCTTAAATGCTGGTGGCCATGGAAAAAGCAGCACATTCCAAGGCCAACTGGGAAGGCCCAGCAGAGCCTGGAGGTGTGCCCATTGTTGCCAAGGTCCCCTGCTCCAGGCCCCTCAGTGGACAGGGCTAGGGAATACATGCTGTGTATATGCACAAGCAATACACATGTCTAAGTTCACTTCTGTATCTAGATTGAAATCTATGAGTTCACACGGATACCTTCAATCCCAACCCCAAATCAGAGTTCTTTCTAGTTTGTTCCTTTCCATATTTCTAACTCCTATATCTAAGGTGCGACTCCTGGCTCCCATTATCCTCAATCAGTTTCTCACTTGATCTTTCCCGTGTGCAACTACCCTCCCGTGGCCGCTGCTGGCCTCTCACACACACAGACACTGCCCCTGCTGTGCTTGAGCTCTGACACGCCACACGTGGCGCTCAGGACCTGGCTCCCTCACTGGTCTGCCGATCCATGTAAATGCCCTGTACCCAGCTTGGCCTGATGCTCTCTGTGTGGACATCCTCCTCACTGCGCACGAGTTCTGAGTTCCTCTGCTGCCAAGGATGCCGTTCTCATCCCGCTGGATATGATACCCATTACTGGTGAGACATTGTGCCTGTGTGGACTCCTCCTTCCACTGCCGGGGCCGTGCTGGGCATCTTTCCTGTGCCAACGCTTCCTCCCCCTTGGGATGCTCACCTGGCTCTGGGCCGTGATGGCTCTTTCCCCAGCTGCACCTACGTTGCACTGCCCAGCCTAATGCCTCTCAGGTTGAATGATTCAGGAAGGAGAGGAAAAAACAAAATAAAGGCAAGGACAAGAGAAAACTGAATTTCCAATTAAAAAATAGAAATAAACCATTTGCAGAAGGAAATTCTCAGCCACTGCCTAAAATCTACTTCAGTGTTTTCACCCCAAATCTCAAGGAAACATAACCACAACAAAAACCCAGAAATTGTCCATGAAAAAATGGATCAAAATGTTCAAGCACAGGGTCAAGCTTAGACTTCCCTCTCTCACTGCAAATTCACAGGAATAACAGAAAAGAAATACATTAATTTAAAAAATCTCTAGTAGTATCTAAAATATAAGAACGGGGCCTTCAGTGCACTGAAATTATGTGGAATCCCTAACAGACAGAAGGCATATGTGAAGACTGAAAGACAATAAATTGAAGCTCTAAAAAGGCCTTAGGCAGGTGCAAGAGTGGCCATGCAGTCCCTCCACCTGGCTGGCAGCTGGACCCAGGGGAGGAGGGTCGGGTGGGAACACACACAGAGCAGCAGCTGCTGATTTCTCTGCAGAGCTGTGCAGTCGGCCAGGGAGAGCCTGTGGCCAGGGGGATCTGTGACTGGCCTGGGGAGACATGGCAGGGTCTGGTGCCAGCGGACAGCAAGGCCCCTGCTCAGAGGACCACCCATCGACATCCCACCCCTGACAGCCCACGCCACAGAGAAGGAAGACCCAGAAGCTCCAGTGTGGGTTGGATGTGTGCTCCTGAGTATAGAGAGCGGAGGGAAGGGAGGTTCAGAGCACTGATGAGAGGATTCTCAGCATTGAGGAGAGTTTTTAAGAGATTCATTAGAAAGAATCACAGTTAAAGGCAGTTGACCAATTGCACCGAGATGATTGAAAACAGGAGGAACCCAAAACATGTGGCACAGTCTCAACTGCTACAGATAAAATATCAAAATCTTTAAAGAGGAAATAAGACCTACTGTTTACTGACCAAGGAGTAAGTCGGATTGACTTCAGCTTTCTCAGCAGCAACATGGGGTGCAAAGAGAGAGGGGAGCCACACTCCTACTGTCTGAAAAAATATCTTTTTAAGCAAATAATTATAAACTCACTGCAAATGTTATCCAGGTGTTATCCCATATCTCCCCTGCAGTCCATGGAGTCAGGGATGTGGCACTCATTGGCCGGCTACGGGGAAATAAAACACAAAGATGAGTACTCAGATAAGCATCAGCAAGCTTTGGAGGAAGGCGGAAATCTGACAGCCAAGGGAAAGACATAAGAAGGAAAATTTAAAGAGTAAAATTACTATCCTCGTTGGATGGAAGAAGACATCTTGGGTACAAAGGAATAAATCACTATTAAAAAACCACTTATGGACCTTAGAAAGGAATCGTGATTGTCAAAATTAAAACCCAAAAGATGGGATGAATAGCAGAAGGGACATATAAGTGCAGATTAGCGAGTGGAAACTTTGACATGAAGAATCCTCCTGGATTGCAGCACAGAAGGGCGAGAAACAAAAAGATTAAAGAAGTGAAAGATGGGGCATTGGTCCAGAAGTTTCAGTCATGGCTGAATGTGCATTTCTGAGAAAGGAACGACAGAGATGGAGCAGAAACTTTGAAAGCACTGATGAGTTTCCCAGAGTTTAAAGAGACTCACTTCCTTTAAAAGGTGAAGGAAAACAGATGGCACTCCATGATGTCATAACTAACTGATGAATATAAAATGCTTACATATTTAAAGAGGAAAAGAAATCAACAAATTACCTCCTAGGGGATGTTTCAGATAGACACCAGCTTTCTCGGCAGCAGCACTGGGTGCAACAGGAGAGTGGGAAGCAATATTGCTAATGCTCTGAAGGAAAATCAACTTGAGCATCGAACGATATACTACCCCAAACATCATCCAAGTGTAAGGGCAAAGTGAAGGGCATTTTTATTAACTCAAAGACATTTTTACTAATTCTTAGTTTAGTCTACACCAAAAGTCTCTGAAAGTATTTCTGGGAAATTAACTCCATGACAAAGAAAAATGAATCCAAGAGAATGACACAAGAAGTAGTGATGAGTATAGATGCCACCAAAATGTATTGTCATGACCAACAAGATTCTTCTATTAAAATATGTATATATCTATAAAAATATGTATAGTATCTCAAATGATACCAACATAGGAGGTTGCTAGAGGCAGTGGCTGGAGAAATGGAAATTGGGCTAATATTCTTACCTGATTTGGGGCACAAGTGACACTGATTTGCTCCAGATGCTCCACGATGCAAAATAAAATATGTGTTAAAATTTAAGTGTAAGTATAGGAGAAAAGGAATAAGGTATAGAATTTCTATGTAACTTAGAAATTATGTTTGACTAAAACAGAAACCTAAAATACAGTGGGTCAAGCTAGAAGTTTGTTTTTACATCACATAGAAGGCTGAGCAAGGACGGGCCAGGCCTGCTGTGGCAGCTCCACAGTGTCATCACGGGACTAAGCACCTACTATTCTGTCACCCCCTCCTTCCACCACGTTAGGGAGGTAACCCGTGTCCTCCAGCTCTCAAGTGGTTACTGGAGTGCTGGCCATCGTGTTTACATTTCAGGGAAGAAGAGGGTTAAGGTGAAATGGTAAAAAGGCCCATTTGAGCCCAGGCGGCCTCCTTCAAGAACTTTCCCAGAAGACTCACCCAGCAACTCCTGCTGACATCTCATTGGCCAGTAAGCATCACATGACCACACCAGCTGCAAGGGAAGCTGAGCAATGCTATTCATTTGAGTGAGCATGTTGCCAACGCCAATAAAATCT